CAAAGTGTTGCCAGAGGCCAAAGAGCTATCTTACTGTAAATCTGAGGCATCATTTTGCCTCCCATATAGGGTTGTTGCTCCTGGCTTACGCTTCCACTATGCCCCTGTATTATACAGGAGCTCTGTGGGTTCCACTGCTGCTAGGCTGAACTAGGACCTGCCTCTGCCCTTTTATGGTAGGTCTGGGTACTGCAAATCAGAGTGTCATTGCCCCTGGCTTGTCCGCCATATTTGCTGAGGTCAGGAAATGCCACATGGAATGACTCAGCAAATTCCAAAAAATTCTGGCTGATCATTCCAGAGTTTAGGTTCCCTTCTATTAGTGATCATCCTCTCTAACATATTAAATTCCTCCTACTGCCAGCCAGACCCAACTGAGAGATCCTGACTTCTCAAACTAACTAGACTGCCACCAAGAATAGGAATTCCTCAGCTCATGAACAACTGTTCAGGAAAAGACATAAATCAACCAAACAAAAAACTCATTTATGCCAATACATGGGCTCTACTTGCCATGTTCAAGTATTCCACTGTTGGAGACTGTCTGGAAATTCCACAGAGAATTAATAGTTCACAGTTAACAAATTAGTGGGAACTTTTTAAACTGATGCAGCACCCCTGCCTGTACTCAGCTAATGAAGTGGGGGGGAGTAAAGGTGGTACATGGGGACAACAAGGTGGTGCAGTGGAGAGAGCACTGGGCCTGGAATGAGGAAAACCTAAGCCTCAGATATTTACAAACTGCATGAGCTTAGGCAAGTCACTTAACCTCTGTTTGCCTCAATTTCCTCAACTGTAAAAGGCAGCTAATAATAGCACCCACCTCCCAAAGCAGTTGTAAACATCAAATTGGTCTCTGTCATCAACACTGAGTTGGATATGGGTGAATCTGTGGTCTGATGTCCTTCTTTCCTCAACAACCAAGTAATATCTCACTATGGTCATATTTCCCATAAGACTCAACATTTGGAAGGAAAAAAAGAATAAAGCGAACTAGGCATAAGGAAGAAAACAATACATTTAAGCATGTGACAAATATGTATGAGGAGTAGTTGATCCATAGGTAAGGGCCAGGTATAGATAGCTTTGAATACCAGCCTAAGAAATTTGGACTTTATTCTTAAACAATGGAGAGCCACTGACAGTTTTTGAGCAGCGGGATAATGTGTATGAAATGACATTTGACAATGGGTACAGAGTGAATGGAGGAGAAGAAAAGCTAGAGACTGAATGAGGAATTAAAAAGTCATCTCAACAGATCAAGTAGGAATTAGAGTCTGGCCTGGTAGATGGCAGCAGGAACAGATGATTAGAGATTTTGTGAATCTGACAACTGACTGGATAGAGCAAGGGAGACAGAAGGGTCAAGAATGACAAAGGCTTTGCAAGATAAATTATTTTTGGTTGCCTTTCAGAATATTGTAGTCCAATGATCTCCTCTCATTTATATTAGAAGCTTTCAGGACTTACTGGTATAATCCTAACTGGTTCTTTGATAACTGAAATCATTCATTCTGGATGCTTGCAATATTTGTTCTTTGATAAGGAAGCACTAGATCTTGGCTGTGAGATCCTTGATCCTTTTCCTTTCGGGATTGTTTCAAAGAACAATAATTCATGTGTATTTTGTATTTTTACTTTTTCTTCTGGTTGCAATAGATCTGGGCAGTTTTTATATAAGATTTCTTGAAATATAGGACTATCTAAGCTTTTTTTTAATTATGGTTTTTCAAGGTGTCTAATGATTCTTAACTTACCTCTCTTTGACTTGTTTTCTAGGATATAATTTTGAAAGCAAGCACCTTACATTTTCTTCTTTTTTTTCAATCTTTTGATTCAGTTCTATTCCTTGTTGTACCATGGAGAAATTGATTTCTTTTTGAGCTGTTCTAATTTTCAGGGAGTCTTTCCTTTTTTCTTTTTACTTTTCATTAATTTATTTTGATTTATTAACAATCACTTCCATAAGCTTTTGAGTTTTAAATTTTTCTCCCCCTCCCTCCCTAAGATGGTGCACAATCTGATATAAGCTATACATATACATTCTTATTAAATATATTTTCACATTAGTGATGTTGTCAGTAAGAATTAGAACCAATAGAACCAGAAAGAGGAAACAAAACACAACAGAAGAAAAAAATAGCAAATAATATGCTTGGATCTGCATTCAAACTCCATAGTTCTTTCTTTGGATGTGGATAGCATTTTCCATCATGAGGCCTTTGGAGATGTCTTAGATCCTTGTATTGCTGAGAAGGGCTAAGTCTATCAAAGTTAGTCACTGCACAACATGGCTGTTACCATATACAGAGTTCTCCTCGTTCTGCTCCCTTCACTCAGCATCAGACCATACAAGCCTTTCCAGGATTTTTCAAAGTCTGTCTGCTCATCATTTCTTATAGCACAATAGTATTCCATTACATTCCAGGGAGTCTACTACTTGAGTAAGATTTGTCACTTTCCACTAATGCATTGTTGTTGGATTTATGAACTGATCCAACCATTCTGGAGAACAATTTGGAATTATGTCCAAAGGACAACCAAATGGTGCATAACCTTGAATGAGTGTTGTCTCAGACAAACTGAGACCTGGGAAAGACTTTAGCTTAAAAAAGGCCAAGATCTCCCACTGCACCAGTCATCCTGATCTATGTCTTGCCACTGTACCCAGATGGCTGTAGAGGAGAAAGTGAGGCTGATGACTTTGGACAGCCCTGCCTCACTTAAACCCAATTCACTTACAAGTCAAGACATCACCCTCCTAATGTCATTGGTCCTCTTCGAGAACAAAGGACAAACAACAACAACAACCACTAGGTCTGTATCCCAAAAAGATCATAAAAAAGGGGAAATGACCTACATATACAAAAATATTTATAGTAGCTTTTTTCATGGTGGCAAAATATTAGAAATTGAGGAGATGTCCATCAATTGGGGAATGATGAAACAAGTTATGGTATACGAATGTAATGGAATACCATTGGGCAATAAGAAATAACGAGCAGGCAGATTTCAGAAAAACCTGGAAAGACTTCTACAAATTGATGTAAAGTGAAATGAGCAAAACCAGGAAAACATTGTACACAGCAACAATTATATCAGCAACATTGTATGATGATCAACTATGAATGACTTAGCTCTTCTCGGCAACACAATGATCCAAGACAAGTACAAAGGACTCATGATGGAAAATGTTATCCACATCCACATAAAGAACTGATGAACTCTGAATGCAACTTGAAGCATACTTTTTTTTAACTGACTTTATTTTTTTCATGATGTTTTTCTTTTGATCTGTTTCTTCTTTCACAACTGTGACTAATATGGAAATATGTTTTACATAATTGTACATATATAACCTACATCATATTGCCTACCATTTTAGGAAGTGTGGGAGGAAGAGAGAAAAATTTGGAACTCAAAATCTTGTAAAAATGAATGCTAAAAATTGTCTTGACATAGAATTGGGGAAAAATAAAATACTATTTAAAAAAAGATTTGTCACTTTCTTTCTAAGCTATTTATTCTTCTTTCATTTTTTCCTCCAGAGACTTTATTTCATTTTTTAAATCTTGTTTCATTTCTTCTAAGTATTCATTTAATTCTTACAGAAAAATCATTTTTTCTCTAAGTCTCTACTTACAATTGTTAGGAAGTTACCCTCTCCTTCTAGGTTGGACTTTTTTGGATCTGTTATAATTCTTTGTATTTATTTGTATATTCTTGTGCCTACTCATGTCTCCAGACATAGTTCCTTAATTGAGAGTTTATTCCAGTGCCAGACCTGCCATGCTTTTAGTAGACAGTCCTTGGTCTCAACCTAAGTCATCTGGGTTCTTGCACTGACCTATAGATTCTCCTGGATCTTTGAGGCTGAGACCAATAGATGTTCAAATTCCTATATTGTGTCTCAAAATTGATACCTCAGAGCCCCTGAGCCTGGGATGTTCCAGGCTTGAGCACTACCATGATTCCATACGTAGCACACTGGTCATTACCACTCACAGTCACTTCCAACTTGTACACTGTAGGTTTCCAACCACTGTGGAGCTTTTTTCAAGGATACCTGCTACTCTCACTGCTTCTGAATGTAGAACATGGCAGGTTACACATGTCTCTGGATGTTCTCTAGTGTGCTGAGAGGCTACTGGTTTATTTGTCTAAGTAAAGTACAAGTGACAGCTTTTTTAGTGAGCCCCCTTTCCTGCTGCCTATAAGTTCTGGTTGACTTTTTGCATAGTTCTGGGGTAGAAGAATTCACTATAGTTATTCATTGGATTTCTAGATCATTATGCAATCTAACACTATTTTTAGTTGTTGCTTCTTTTTTTTGGCTTCTGTCAGACAGCTGTCTTGACTGGAGGTGTTGAGTTGCTGAATTCTATCCTACTGTCTAGTCCTAGTCTCTCTCTCTGACTTCACCAACTATCTATCAGTATTATGGACTGGATATTCCAAATACATCCTGTTCAAAACAGAATTCATTATCTTTTCCTAAAAATCCAACCCTCTTCCAAATATCCTCATTACTATCAAGAACACTTCCATCTTTCTGTCATCTCAGGTTTACAGCCTTGGTATCATCCTTGACCCCTCACTATCATTTACCCTACATATCCATTCAGTTGCCAAACCTTGTAATTTCTACCTCCACAACATCTCTCGAACAACTAAATCTCAGTTCAGTCCCCCATCATCTCTCACTGGGACTACTGCAATAATAATTTCATAATACTCAAGTCTCTTCCTGACCCAAACCAATCACAAAACCATCAAGTGACTTTTCCTTAAAACATAAGTCTATCCAACTATGGAGCTCTCCCCCATCTCAATAAATTCTAATAGTTCTCTCTTATCTCCAGGACTATATATCTCTCTTTGATATTTTTTGTCTTCACCACTGCCTATAAACACAAACAGATTCATTTCTTCCATGCTTCACTTATAGGATAGCAATTCCTGAATCTTAATGCTTTCTTTGGTTTTTTTTTCCTACCCAGGAACAACATGGCTGCAAGAGATTGTAGATATGATACAGAATGATGGAGACATTGAAAAAACAAGACGAGCTCCAACTGACATACGAATGCCTTTCCTTGAAAGGATAAACCCACCCTATGTTGGTAAGTTGAATATGAACAGTTTAAGAACACAATCTACAAATTACCCATAAATCCAATGACCACCCTTATACCACTCTAATCACAAACTAATATTCCCACAACTTAGACCTTATGATCTCAGAATTATACCACTTCCAAGATCTGAAACTTTAAATTCTATTATCCATCCACACCTTTTCATCCCTTCACTCTCAACCTCTTGCCTTCAATAAGACCTATGGTCCATGACCCATCTCTGTTGTCTCTGTCTTCCCCAGTCTGGCTTCACTTGCCTCCACACCTAGCCTTAGCCTCATGTTTTTCCTCTTATATAATTCTTTGGACACTACCCTAGAATCATAGATCATAGGACTTCAAGCTCAAAGCGACCTTAGGCCAACCACCAGGACCTAGTCCAACCCTCCGGTTTTACAAATGAGGCCCAAATGGATAAAATACCAAAGGGCACATAGATAACAAGTACCAAAGCCAAATCTGAAAGCAGATCATCTGACTCCAAATGTTGTCCTGAACACTACACCACATCCCTGAAATTCCTGTGTTCTCAACCCCTAAAAACTCTTCCCTCAATCACTCTCTCTCTGATTTCTTTGTTCTTGCTCCAGGTCTTCTGGAGAAATTCACAAAATTTACTTATTTCAAATATTTAATACATAAACTCAATAAGGCCCTTTCTGCAGTTCTATGGTCTCCTCTAAACTATGTTTATGGACTCCTTATTTCATTTGCATCAGCAATTCTAACAAATCTTTTCTCCTCTTCTCTCACCATCACCCCCAACCACACTATCAGCTCCACTATTTACATTAAATAACCTAGCATTCCACTGAGAACACTGAGCATAGAGTGCTGGGCCTGGAGTCAAGAAGACTCATCTTTCTGAGTTCAAATCTGGCCTCAGACATTTACTAGTTGTGTGACACTAGGCAAGTCACTTCACCATGTTTCCCTCAGTTTCTTCATCTGTACAATGTACTGGAGAAGGAAATGGCAAACCACTCCAGTATCTTTGCCAGGAAAACTCCAAATAGGGTCACAAAGAGTCAAACATGAGTGAATAAAAACAATAAAGTTTAGGAGATAACGTGTTCTCCTCGCTCTCCTACTTCTACAACACTATTTTTTCTGCCTCTTTCACTGGCTTCTCATTCCCCTTAACACATATGCTCTCCCAAGGGTCTATCTTGGACTTGCCTTCCTACTTTCCTTTCTCTCCCTTGGCAATGCCATTCCTTCCCCCATATTATTATATCTTTTGAAAATAAAGAAGTCTAAAGAGTAGGATTGACTTTCTGTTTGTTTTTTTGCCTAAAACAACAAACAACTTTCTTTGGGGTTTCTGTAAGTAATATACTTCATTTAGCAAGGTTAGTAAAATCCTAATTCTGTACCAATAGCTCTTCTGATTTCCAAATAGTTTAAAATATCCAAAAGGAGAGGAATAGGGAAAGGGAATAAGCATTTATATAGCACTTACTATGTGCCAGGCACTGTGCTAAGGGCTTTACAAATATTATCTCATTTGATCCTCACAACAACTACAATGTAGATGCTGTTATTAAGCCCATTTTACAGTTGAGGAAACTGAGACAGGGGTTAAAGAACTTGCCCAGGGCCACACAGTAAGTATCTGAGGCAGAATTTGATATCAGGACTTCCTAACTCCAGGCCCAGCACTCTAGTTACTACACTGAATACAGGAATGGATATTATATTGTCTGCCCATATCTTATTCTTGTTCAGTCATTCTCAGTTATGTCCAACCCTCTATGACCCCGTTTGGGGTTTTCTTGGCAAAGACACTGGAGCATTTTGCCATTTCCTTCTCCAGCTCATTTTACAGATAAGGAAACTGAGGCAAACAAAGTGAAGTGACTTGCCCAGGGTCACATAACTAGTAAGTGGCTGAGGCCAGGTTTGAACTCAGGAAGATGAGTCTTCCTGACTTTATTCCAAGCACTCTATCCACTGTGCCACCTAGCTGCCCCAGGCCTATATCGACCACTCTTCAAATTTCTCATCTCAAATGAGGTGTTTGGACTGGATGATCTCTAAGGTTCCTTTCAGCCCTAAAATTTAATGTTTTATAAGATATACACATGGATATAAACTGCAAACATAATTTATGCTTTTCTTCTTGAACTCTTACAAGGAAAATGGCATGCCCTGTGTATAAAGAGAGTGGCCCAAAAGGTCAGAAACTAGCTTTGAGTTACTCAATTGCCTTCCAAGCTATTGACAGAAGGAAAATGGAACTGAATAGTAAAGCAATGAAGTAATGAAAATAAACTATCTTGCAGGACTGGATAAGGCTAATGAAATGCCTTCACCAAGAGTCCTGAAAACCCATCTTCCTGTGCAACTACTGCCTCCATCCTTTTGGAAAGAAAACTGTAAGGTAAGTGTCAACATGATAGGAAGAAGGAAATGGAGGCCAGGAAAACATGGCAGATGGGACTATATGTTACCCATGCAGAAAACTTGATCAAGTTACATGTCAACTGTGCCACACCTACCAAGAGTAGCTGGAGTTGAGGCCAGAGGGTTCCTGTACCCAGGAAAGTAGGGCAATATGATTCTGCTATCTGCAGAGACATTCAATGCAGAGCTATAACCAGAGTGGGGAGAAGTAGAACATTGCCCCACACATGGCTGAATTTAGAGACAGTACAAAATTGGTATTCCAGGCTTGAAGTGAGTTGCTAATAGCCCCAACTGAAAGGTAGATGTGGGAGAGGTACAGAGATGTTCAGAGTCAGTTCAAACATGTTCATGGCCCCTCTCCCTAATGCCAATAGAAGAGGTGCAGGATAGAAGGCAGCATCCTATATGGAGGCTCCGGTGTCATAAACTCTCAACCCTCCATCTAATAATTCTCTCCCTCCTACCGTTGCACACACACACACACACACACACACACACACACACACACACACATACAGATAACCTCCAGCTCCCAATGCCCTTTCTCCTTTTCAAAGGATCTCACATTTTCTCTCCCTAGCCTGGGACTAAGCCTGTTCTACCATCAGATCCAAGAGGATGAGATAAGTGCACTAGTCACTCTCGATAGCCGAAGCAAACTGCTGGAAAAAATGAGATGGAATAGGATGACATGTGAATGTTGAGGGGTTCACCTCAACAAGGAGAAAGATCACATTTTCATGTTCGGCAAATGAAAGAGGAGATAGTGGAAAAAAGACAACCAAGAAATATGAGATAAGAAAGAAGGGATAAGGGGGAGCTCTCAGCTAACAGCCTTAATTTTTCAGTGAAATACAAAGCAAGGCTCTCAGTTGAGAAAGGAGGGCAAGAAGGAGGTATGGTAGATTTGAAAACATTTGAAAAAAAAAACATTACATAGTGAATAGGACAGTGATTTGATTAGGGAGAGCCTTGCTAAAGTGAGGATCCAGTTGAGATTATGGAAATTAAAGTAGACTCAGAACAATTTCGTGATTTTCTCTAGCTTCATATAGCAGTTCATGGAGGAGTGAAGCCAGTGGATGGCAAGAGTAATCCAAGACTGAAGCCTAGCAGGACAAGATGAGCAATAGGATCAAAGGCAAGGAACTTGATAGAAGAAATCAGTGTAGAGTTGAACTGGCTGACCAAAGGGTCAAGATGGGCAATTGAGGAGAGTATAGTCAGTACAGAAGTGTTGACCTGGGAAAAGATCTAAAGGGTAGAAGACTCAGAGGTCCTAGTAAGGTTAAATAATAAAGTTAGGAGCTGCCTAGGAGGAGAGGTGAAATGATAACACATTATGATAAGGGAATTTCAAAGTTCATGAACATGGAAGTGGAGCACATATGGGTAATGGCAAGATCAAGGATATGAGCATCTTTCTGTGGAACTGAGCTGGGGTGAAGGAGCAGCAGTAGGAGAAATAAGTTAAGGAACTGGGAAGCAAGGGTGTTTGAGGGAGTGATCACAACATGTTGAAGTCCCTTAGTATGAGTACAGGAGCTGGAGAGGAAAGAAAGTATATGAGCCAGGCACTGAACTCATTGAAAAAGAAAGAAAAGCATCATGAAGACCTGTAGATTACTACCAGAATTTTTTTACTGGATAGTAATGTCCTTTTCTTCTGGTCCGTTTGTTAACTTAGGAGAAGTCTACTGCTCCTGCATCCGCCCTTAAAAGTTGTCGTTTTTTCTTGATTCCAAGATGTTGTACACAGAGAAGCTTCAGCTTATCCCAGCCAGTCAGTCAACATGCATTTATTAAGTGTTTACTATGTGCCAGGCACTGTGTTAAGTGCTAAGGAAGCAAAAGAAAGGCAAAAACACAATCTCTGCCTCAAGAAGCTCAAATTTAAGTTAGGGAAGGTAGCATGCAAATAACTTTGTACATAAGAAACTATATACAGGGCAAATGGAAAGTAATGTCAGAGGGAAGGTGCTGTAGGGATATAGTAAGGACAAGGAAAAGCATCCTTTATAAGTTGGAATTTGATATGAATTTTGAAGGAAGACAAGAAATCTAGGAGTTACAGGTGAAGAGGAAGAGCATTCTACACATGGAGACAACCTGTGCAAAGAGACTATCCAGAGATAGAGCTGTATGTGAGAAGCAGCAAATAGGCCAGTGTAACTGAATCATAGACGGTGGCGAGGGTAAAGAAGAACAAGAAGACTGGAAAAATAAGAAGGCACCAGGTTGCCACCGTGGGTTTCTATAGACAAGGGTTCCACTTTCCCCCACATAAGCCAAAGCTTGCCATCACCCTGGAGTACGCCCACCCCAGGCTAAGCTAGATAGAATGTGACATACATGTGGTTCAACTTAAACCAATTATGTAATACTAAATTAATTACTAGTATTACCTAGACGGCATGAATAAATATGATGCAACTTCTGGTGTCCTAGACAGAGCGGCTTTATTTTTTTTTTCACAAAATAAAACATTAAGACAAATTCTGATCTAAAATAGAGTTACAAGCTTTTCTGGGAGACAGAAAACTATTCATTCTTGTCATTGTGATCACACCCATAATCAAATTGGCATTAACCATATTCAGGTAGAAATAACAAAGGATATCTCAGCTACACAACAGAAATTAGAAGAAAGCAAACATACACTGACAAAAGATGTTAGTTTTAGCTTAAAACTTTTTCAAACACTTATGCTATGCCTACATAGAATTTTGGACTTTGTATATGTGAAGGGCATAGTACTTAGGCAAATTTATTGTTGTCTATTTCAGAGAAACTTGAGTTAATTATGGATAAATGTAAAGCAAAAGCATGTGTTAATGAACCTGATTTGAAAGTAAACAAAAAGAATATTCAGTTACAGTTACATGATAGGACTAGGAATAGAGATTGGACCAGTAAATATAGAGAATTTGCTCTTCCAATGCAAATCAGCACCTTCTCTGCAGCTAGCAATCTTAGAAAATTATCTTCATCACTGAAAATTTAAGTGACCTTCTTAGGGTCACATAGCCAGTAAGTATCACAGGCAGGACTTGAACTCAAGTGTTCCTGATTTCAAGGACAGCTCTACACAGCTGTGTACTGGAGTCAGTCCATACCCTCTCATAAGAAAAGACTGCTAAATTTTCAGTGTGAGCATTTAAACCTCGAAAATCAGCAAAGGCTACAATCAGGGTTTTATTGATTGCTTTGAACATTTTCTAGGCTAAGAAAATGATGGAGGAAATGTTAATAACATTGATTAAACTCAAAAGTATGTCAAGTGTACTTATTTCTTTTCTGGAAAGTGAGCTGTTAAACATTTACCAGGACAATCCTAGATGTCCACCACATTCTCTCTCTGCCTACATGGTAGGCATGCTAAATGCAATACTTTGTGTTTATCTTTCTCTTGCATTTTATTTTACTCCTTTTACCTACTCCAGATAATCTATGTGGCCAGAAATATCAAGGATAACATAGTGTCCTTCTTCCATTTCCAAAGGATGAATAAAGGACTTCCAGATCCAGGAAGCTGGGAAGAGTATTTTGAAACATTCTTGGAAGGCAAGGGTGAGTGAGGTACAGGAAAATCAGCTTCTCCAGCACCTAAAGGAATATAGTATTTCTGTTGTAAAAAAAAAAAATGAGGTGAACATACATGGGCCCTGAAGCTTACTGCAGGACTGGTAACATTGGAAGTACCAAGGGATTGGGATTTCAAGGCTGTTTATATGCAGGATACAATTTGGGAACCCCCTTCATTTTCTCTACGAGAAAGTGTTTCAACCAGAGACATCATTTAGCATAAACAAATGTGACAATGGCAATAGGCAGCATTTAATTTTAAATCAGTTACTTTATAATCTATATTAATTTTTAATATGCAACCATGCTTTCAAAACTACATCCAAGTCATAACTTTCTTGCATATGTTTTAATAAACTCTCCCACAGCAATGATCATTGCGGAATTACAGTTTTGGAGGTATGGGAGGTCTATGACTTGCCAATGATTTGAGTTATTTTAACTCTTTTAGTTGTATAATTTTAACCCTTTTAAGATAATCTACCATTTTGACAATACATTTAGTAAATATGACCTGTTATATATCACAGTTGTACAGTGGATAGGATGCCAGCCCTGAAGTCAGGAGGACCTGAGCTCCAATCCAGCCTCAGACATTTACTAGCTATGTGACATGCTAGGCAAATCACTTAACCTCTCTGTGCCTCAACTGTAAAATGAGCTGGAGAAGGAAAAAGTAAATCATTCCAGTATCCTTACCAGAAAAAACAAACAAACAAATGGGGTCACTAAGAGTCAGACATGACTAATCAACAAAACAACAGTAAAAACTTATCACAAATTTTGTCTGCAATGTAAGATTAAATTTGCAGCTTCATGTCACAAGTCAAAATGATAAGCCACATAAGAATTTATTTTTTTTTCTTTTTTAGATTCAAAATTCATAATTCAACACCTTTCTCCTTGCTTTCATAGTGAGTCCACTGACTTGTTGCCACTTCACATTTAGCTGAACTTAATCTTTATTTCATTAAGAAAGATATCAATAAGTTTGCTAGAGTAGTATGTTCAACATCCATAAGGCATAGAGTGTTGTTGCTGCTGTTGTTTGCCCTTCGTTCTCAAAGAGGACCAATAACACCATGAGGGCGATGTCTTGACTTGTACATGAATTGGATTCAAGTGAGGCAGAGCTGCAAAGTCATCAGCCTCACTCTCTCCTCAAGTCACTGGACTTCGATGACTCTGGAGGAAAGTATAGAAATAATCCTCAGACCTAAAGTAACTTTTTGCTATGATAATTAACATATCTTAACATTATAGAAATTTGTTTTTCATGAGATACATTGGGTATAGAAAACATCTCTATACTGTACTTAATGTTAGTTTTAATTTTCAAATTTTCTTTCTCCTTGTGCCAACAGTGAAACTAATTCAATTACTCTGACTACAGAAAGCTTGGATGAGTGACCAAGGTGAACATATGAGAGGAAGACAACCTTAGGGATTAGTAGATTTGTATTGTGGCTTCCTAATTGAGTCAAAAGATTATAATCCATTCTCAGTTTCTATGCATAGTGTTCAATTCCAAAATAGTTCTGTGGCACAGTTGGTTATGTACTGGACCTGGAGTCAAGAAAACCACAGTTCAAATCCAACTTCAGAAACTGAGCTAGTTGTGATCCTGGGCAAGTCACTTAACCTGTCTGCCTCAGTTTCTTCATCTGTAAAAGGGGATTTATAATACCACCCACCTCCCAGGGTTGTCGTGAGGATACGATCAGATTTGTAAAATGTTTTGCAAACCTTAAAGTCTTATACAAATGCTACTAGCTATTATTATTATTATTATAAATTTAAAACCTTCCACCATGTTCTATCTCTCTGATTTCTCATCTAGTTCTAGAACAATTCAGGGCCTCTGAAATGGGATTCCTAATCATTCAAAAGATTAGCCAAGGGGCAGCTAGGTGGCGCAGTGGATAGAGCACCGACCCTGAAGTCAGGAGGCCCCAAGTTCAAATCCGACCTCAGACCAAACACTTGACACTTACTAGCTGTGGGACCCTGGGCAAGTCACTTAACCCCAGTTGCCTAGAAAAAAATTAGCCTAATAATCCTCACTGGAAAAACCACGAGGATAGAGAATGTCTATTGTCCAGTACATTAAATGCACTTAGACAAGCAACCCACATAGCTCATCCATCGGCATATAATTATAATGATAATAATAATAGCTAGCATTTATGTAGTGGTTTAAGGTTTGATATGTGCTTTATAAATACATGTGCATACATAAATGCACGCAGAGAGTTTTATGCAGTTTTTTTTTAATTGATCTCAATCTTCTCTCTGAAACTAAAGAACATCTTTTTAACATCCCATTCTTCTGGCAAAGTTGTATACAACTGCAATTGCAAGTCATAGATTACCACAATCTCTAGTAATTTAAAGTTTAAAACCATTCAAAGGGAGAAAAAAAGAGGCACATAATAGGTGTGAGAAAGCTGCAACAGTTATAGATAAGTAATTGTGTAGGAATTGTTATGTAAACATTATCACCAGAGAAATGTTTGACCAGGAAAAAGCAAAGATGTGGCAAGAGGAATGTTAATTAATGGCTAACTAATGAACAGGCCACATACTCCACTGATATCTAGGCAATATCAAGAGACACAAAAAAAGATCCCCTTTACTCAGTATATTGAGTAGATACCCCAGTATCATATTTATGAGACAGATAAAAGAGACCCACAGTATGGAGAGGGATGAAGGGCTAAGTGCCATGTGCATTATTAAAGGGATTATTCACATCAATGGGAACACAGAATTATTGAGGTATTAAAGAAAATAAACCTCCCAGGGTTTTCCCAAGCCACATCCATGCCTTTAGAGCTGTCCTGACTTCCTTGAGGAGGGTCAGAAAGCTGGTGACCAAGCAGCACCAATTCAACCTCCCAATAAGCGTGTACTTTATTGGACACACGTTAAAAATATCAGTCACATATGACCAACTTATGCATAGGTGAAATACATAACCACTGACATATTGTGATTTAAGAGATGTGGCCAAAGTCTCCACATTCAAAAATATCACACCCCCTGGGATGCCACAGGGCTTATCAATCATGATAGTCAATCAACAAGCATTTCTTAAGTGTTTACCACATGTCAGGCACTCTGATAAGTGCTAGGGACACAAAGAAAGGTAAAAACTCAATTTCTGACCTCAAGTTGCTCACACTTTAATGGGAGAGACAACAAGATATATAAAGGGTAGGGAAGAAAGGCACTAACAGTGGACTCAATAGTTTCCACACACACACACATTGAAATGCAAATACTCCTGGAACAGGTAACGCGTTAATCTGTCACTAATGTCTTAAAGGGAATGGTACTATGATATTGCTCTCTAATGTGACAGAATAAAAAATAACCCTCCAAGATACAAAACAGACATGTTGATAGAAGGAAATGTGGAGAGATGTTGAATGTACCAAGTTCTGAGTACCAACATGAGAAAAATGAGGTGTTCTGCAAGAAGAGATAAGATCAAAATCAAACATCTCTTGCTTTATAGCTTTAGTTGGACTCAGCCCTGCTCTCACATAGGTATTCCAAATGTCAAGTTTAGTCAGTTGGCATTAGGCAGGCAAGATTTAACCACCACAGTTGCCAAGAGGTAAGAGGTTAACTGGACAATAAACACCAGAAACAGAGTTTGGGATGCAAGATGTCAGAATAAAAAGAAGTGAAAAGCAAAAAGACGGTCAGAATCAAGACCAATGTTGACACCAGAAAGTCTGAAGAAATGGGGTCTGCAGAATCAGGGGCCAAGGCCCAGGTCAGTTCCTGTATGAGTCAGGAACAGACCATGTAGTGCAAGTGTGCTTCTGCCAAACACTCTCTTTGCCTCTTGTCCCAGCGAGTAAGTAGCAGGGGACATACCGTCCTTTACTATTTGTGACCAAGATAACCATGTTCCTCTCTTTCAGGTTTATGGGGATCCTGGTATGATCACGTAAAAGGATGGTGGGAAGCAAAAGACATTTACCCCATTCTCTACCTCTTCTACGAAGACATTAAGAAAGTACATAATAATTTGGATTGTGACTATATATCTATTTTACCTACCATTTCAATTTTATGAAAGTAATGAAGAAGGCTAAGATGTAACATGTCATAATGAATAGAGTGCTGGTCTTGGAGTCAGGAAAACCTGAATTCAAATCCTGCCTCTGATTTACTAACTGTGTGACTGAGGGCAAGTCAAGTAACCTTTCTAAACCTTAGCAAACTCTTTGGGTTGCACACTCCCTTTACATTCTTAAAAATTATTGAGGACCCCCAAAGAGCTTTCTTTATGTGAGTGGTATCTATCAATATTTACCATATTAGAAATTATAATTGGTACATTTTAAAATATTTAATTTCTTTAAAAATAACAAAAATCATTACATATTATACATTATTTTACTTTTAAAAACTATATTTTCCAAACCAAAACCTAATAGTGAAAAGAATAGATTTTTGAAGTTTTTCATATCTAAGTAATATCTGGCTAATATTAAACAGCTAGATTCTCATATCTTCTTCTACATTTAATCTGCTGTGATAAGTCATTTTGGTTTATACCTATGAAGAAAATTTTGCCTCACACAGGGAAAAGGGAAAGAATTTTTCATAGGCAAATAATATCTTAGTATTAATATGAAAAGGCAGCTAGATGACGCAGTTGACAGAGTGCTGGGCTTAAAGTCATCTTCTTGAGTTCAAATCTGACCTTAGATGCTTACTGGCTATGTGACCCTGGGCAAGTCACTTAACCTTGTTTGCCTCAGTTTCCTTTTCTGTAAAATGAGCTGGAGAAGGAAATGGCAAATCATTCCAGTAACTTTGCCAAGAAAATTCCAAATGGGGTCGTGAAGAGTCGGACACAACCAAAACAACTGAACAATAACAAATTATTATGAAAATAATTTTGACCTCACAAACCCCTGAAAGGGTCTCAAGAACCTCTACAAACTACACTTTGAGAACCAATGATCTAATCTAATCTCCTCATTTTACATACAAGGAAACTAATGCCCAGAGTTAAAATAACTTATCTAAAGTCAAATTTGTATAAATTAGACATAAACCCAAAGTGGCCTACATTGCCTTGAATCTGTACCTACTACAAAATTTTAATTGTGCACAAGTCAATTAGCACCTACAAAAGGTTTATCCAAATAAGGAATCTAACAAATAAAATACTAGAAACCAAGTGTTCTAAAAATCCAGATTTCTAGCATCTTTCAAGAGCATTTCAAGAGTTATTAATAATTCACAATAAAGTATTCTCCAGTAATCACTTTGCTATGCATTTCATCATATATCTGCTGGGGAGAGAAAAGTTACTTGGCTCTTTCCCAGGGACGCTCAATTCAATCCATTTAAAACAAGGCATTTTCGTTTCTTCTGTATTTATGTTTATTATCATCTCTGTCCCTTTCATGTTTAAATAAGTACTAATGTCTTGATTCTCCAAACTCTTTTCTAAGGCCTTTCATTCTAACATTTGAATGATGTAGTAATTGTCTATATCCTAAATTTCTTCACTGGCTACTGTTCTCCATTATTCTTCACATGATTTTCTTCTTTTCTCTTTTCCTCCCTCCCTTCTTGTCTCTGCCCTACAGCTGCCTTTATTTCCAGATACACTTCATTACCCTCCTTTTGGAATATGATGGTAGTTTGTGCTCCCCTCTATTGGTCAAGTATATGTGCTCTATGCCCAGCTTAGAATGAGTGTAGGACCTCAAAACTATATCATCTCTGATAGAATTTTTGGCAATGATTTCAGGCTTCCCACTCACCTAACCCACAATAAGTGTCTAACTCCGTCCCCAAGAACATATGAACCCTACGGAAAATCCCCATAGAGGTTCACATCCTTAGACTCAGTCAATAGGAGTTACCTAACTTAACCCCTGGGGCATAACCTAAAGGTTTCACAATACCAGAAATAAGGAAGATCTCCAAACACTTTAGGGGAAATGTTCTTGAGGTCACTGACTACTACAACAAACTGCTCTCAGAAAATTCAGAGAAGGCGTCGGGTCTGAAATACAGCTCATAAGCTAGTAGAGATAACCAGCTATGAATGGGGACCAAGTGTTGTTTTTATAGCCTGTGTCTGTCTATGCTATGGCATTAATGATAGTAATGGTAAATGATAGTAAATGATATTAACTAAAGCTAATCCAAAGCTGGGAAGCAGATCAGGAGCCAACCCAAAGGCACCACTAGCAAGGATGCCTTGAAATTCATTCAAGTCACTACCTCAGATGGAAAATCTCCTCTATGCTTCCTACTGAAGCAATTGCCAATCAAAAGAATGACTAGCCCAGGAACTAAAGGAGGGAGTAGGTTAGCTACCTTAGGGTAATGGTAAATAGAATGGAGTAAGAGATTGATAAATAATAATAATAATAATAACTAGCATTTCAATTGTGCTTTAATGTTTGCAAAGCACTTTACAAATATTATCATGACTGATCCTCATAATAGGGAAGTGCTGCAATGATCCCCATTTTATGGATGAGGCAACTGAGGCAGACAGAGGTTAAATGGCTTATCCAGTGTTGCACAGCTACTCCTGTTTCTCAGGCCAGATTTAAACTTAGATGGTGCAGAGGACAGAACACCAGGTCTGGAATTGGGAAGACTTAAATTCAAGTCTGGCCTCAGACATGTACTAGCCGTTTAACTCTGGGCAAGTCACTTAACCTGTGCTTGTCTCAGTTTCCTTATCTGTAAGGTAAGAACAGTAATAGAACCTACCTCCAAGGGTGGTTGTGAGAATTAAATGAGATAATAATTGTAAAGCACCTAGCATAGTGCTTAGTATATCATAAGTGCTATATAAATGTTCACTATTATCACTGTTGCTGTTATTGTTATTATTATTATTATTCCAGGTGCAGTATTCTATCCACCATATCACCTATTTGGCACCTCTGAAAAGGCAAAAGAAAAATCTCTACTGTGATATCTTAAGGGTTGCTTCCTTCCCTCCACACAGAAAAAAAAAAGACTATCTGTCACATATATGCCTCTTAAACTGTATGACAGCAATATTAACCCCTTCCCTTATCACTAATATGCTGCATGAAATAGGATTAAAGTTTAAACAAAATTTCAAAGTTTACAAATTAAGCACTAACCAAGAATCAGAATCTTGTTTCTGATGGAAGTGGTATTGCCCAAGACCTTTTGAATAGAACTTTCTGTTAGAAATCTCAGATAACCTCAAAACTGACTTAGGTCTTCAGAACAACATGTAAGTAGAACCAAGAGGTTTGTAAAGAGATGCATCACAATTCCCATGGTTAGTGCTCTGCTGTGATGCCAGCTATGACATTTGATCTTAATGCAGAATGAAGAAGTTTTTATTTCTCCTTCCATTCTCTCTGCAGCATCCCAGGCGGGAAATTGAGAAAGTGATGGAATTCCTGGGGAAGAACCTGGATGAAAAAGTTTTAGATAAAATTGTCTATTATACTTCATTTAATGTAATGAAGAACAATCCTATGTCAAACTATACATTAAGTTCCCTGATGAATCAGTCTGTATCCCCATTCATGAGGAAAGGTAATGTATATGTTCTTTTACTAAGAAAATTAAGTTTCTTCATTATTGTCAATGCTTTAAATTGGTATAGGGAAGGGAATAAGCATTAATAAAAATAATAATTTGTTTAGTTGAGTAGTTGTATCCAACTCTTTGTGACCCCATTTGGTGTTTTCTTAGCAAAGATACTGGAGTGGTTTGCTATTTTCCTTCTCCAGATCATTTTACAGTTGAGGAAACTGAGGCAACCAGGGTTAAGTGACTTGCCTACAGTCACACAGCTAATAAGTGTCTGAGACTGGATTTGAACACACATCCTCCTGAGTTCAGGTCTGACATTCTGTCCACTACATCACCTAGCTGCCATAATAATAATAATAACAATAATAATAACAATACCTAATGTTTATATAGCATTTACCAAATGCCAGGCACTATGCTAAGTGTTTTACAATTATCATCTCACTTGATCTTCACAACCTTCAGAAGTATGTGCTATTATTATTTCCATTTTACAGATGAAGAAACTAAGGTAAACAGAGGTTAAGTGACTTGCCCAGGGTCCCACAGCTAGGAAGTATCTAAGGACAGATTTGAACCCAGGTCTTCCTGAATCCAGAACCAGAGCTCTATCCACTGTGCAACCTATAGTCACTACTATGTGCCAGGATCTGTACTAAGCACTGGATTGGTGATTTCACTGGTACAGAAAACTCTGAGGTGAGGGAATGTTCACAATCAATGCAGCTGAGCACTTTCTCAGCAACTTAGAGTGTCAGAGAGTCATCCAGAGTACTGAAGTAACTGCCCAGGATCACATAGCCAATATGTTTCCCAACAAGTCTTCTTGGCTTGAGGGCAACTCGCCATCCACCATCCCATTAGGGTACTCAATATTTTAAATACTAATATTAATTCATAAAGCACTTTTCTATCATTCAAACTCGAGATGGCACAGTGTATAAAATATGGTTTTCTTAAATGAAACATTGCTTTACTCTAGAATTACTTATCACTTATGGACACTGAAAAAGAGATAGACACTTAACATTGCATCCATGAATAATGTCTAATGGGATAAATGAGGATCTTAAACTTAGGATAGATATAGAAGGAAGGAAGGAAGAATGGAAGGAAGAAAGGAAAATTCTTTGAGCATTAAAACATTCCTTCTTAAGAAATCGTGTTCAGTACATGGTGATAAAATTATATAAAGATGAATAGAGTTTAGCCACTAGGGGTGCTACTACCCAATTAACCAACACTTGAGTTGTTCATTCGTTTCAGTCATGTCCAACTCTTCATGAACCCACTTGGGGTTTTCTTGGTAAAGATACTGGAGCAATTTGTCATTTCCTTTTACAGCTCATTTTACAGGTGAGGAACTAAGGTAAACAGAGTCAAGTGACTTGCCCAGGGTCACACAGCTAGCAAGTATTTCAGGCCAGATTTAAACTCATCATGATAAGTCTTTCTGACTTCAGGCCCAGTGTTCTATACACTGCACCACCTGGCTAAGTTCTGGCTAGCTCATGCTCATTCTAGCAGTTGTATGCTTTAGCCAACACCAGTAAGGGGTGCTTAGGAAGAATGCCAAGCTCTCTGTTTTACAGAGAACTGTCTCTATCCCTCACCTCTGTCTCTTTTGTGGGTCATAGATGCTCACTGCATTAATCTGGGAAGGAGGAGCTAGTATGAATTTATCCAATTAAATTCTTGACTCAAGCCCCCATTCACAGGGAAAACTGTACTCTCATCCCTAGCCTGTTGAATCTCAGTAAACATTTATCACATGAATGTGTCATATTAGAATCAACCACATGTCATGTGTGAAATTTAACAGAAGGCTAAACTGAGGCAATTCTCTAAGAAAGCTATCATTTATGAATGGGAGAATATAACCCAATAATAAAAGATGGGTTCACCTTAATAAAGGATGGCACTACCTCTGACCAGAAGACCCAGAATTGAAGATGTAACTCATTTTTATAAGCATAGAACAAAGATCAGAACAGAAATCATATTATTGGCCAGCATCACCGGGTTGAGGGCACATTATTGGTTACATTAAAGAAAATTGGTATAACCCATATGTGGAATGGAGACCACTTCTCTATCTCTAAGGAATGCTTTTGTGAATTGTATGGGTCCCAGTTGCTTCCTGAATACTGATACTGATAGGGACCCAGGTAATACAGACTCATTGGCACCTGAGGAATAGATAAGATCACCTTAATTGCTAAAGAGAAGAGGTCAATTAGTCCAGCTTCTCAAGAATAAACGTACAAACCTCGTAGGAAATGCTGAAATAATGTTTAATGAGAGTATTGCAAATAGAGTTTTTCTTTAATGATTATGGGCAAGCTTAAGCCTTTGGTATCTATCTTCAAAGAGAAAGGTGATTGAACTTTTGCACACACAAGCTTCTTCACTCAGTGAAAGAGAACAGGCTTCAGGTTTGTTACACAAAATATGGTTACAAAATGAACTCATTTATGGAGTAAAATCAAATATAAAATACAAGATCAGGAAGTAATTCTCTCTCATAAACGGATGGCTTAATTACATACCATATTCAGGACCAAAGGAAATAGACTTGAAATACATTGAAACAACTATTCCATAGGCTATTCACCCCTAAGTTTTCCAAGATGCAGGTTACCATGCTATAAGCATGCCCCAAACCCAGAAGTTACCTGACTCACATCATTCAGGTACCTAGACTTAGGAACTCTCACTCAAGTATCCTCAATGTTTAATTTAGAAAATGGCCTAAGTGCCCCCATTAGCTTTCTCATGGACTGGCAAAGGGTCACAATCAAGTCAGAAGGGGAACCTGAGAAACAGAGGCCCCTCAGCTCATTTCTGGCTCACCCAAAAAGGCAGTGGCCAGCAACCTAGAATCAAATGATTACTCCTCTAGCCACATTTCTCTCTTGCCATGTTCTACTCCCACCTTGTTTCCAGCCTCTCCTGCCTCACCACTGACCCCATGAACCAGCTCCTCTCCAAAAGTATAGATAAGCTTCATCATTAAAGCCTTGTCACAGGAAAAAGGCTGCAGAGCAAAGGCTATTTTGCCTCTTCTCTTTGACCCCTCTTTTCTCAAAATTCATGCACTGGTATTTTGTGTTATTTCCCACATTTTCCCGTCATGGCTTTCCAGGCTTTCCAGATATCCTACTCCCAAGCCCTTCAACTCTAAGAGGCAGCATTGAACAGAGGAAAGAACATTCATTGCCTCTGTTTTCTCATCTGCAAAATAAAAGATTTGAACTAAATGACCTTTGAGGTCCTTTCTGGTGCTGGAACCTTGAACAGCCTACATTATTTGGGTAAGGTCCAACTTCAAAAGTTTTGTAATGCCAACCCAAGACAGGGTTCATGGCTAATTTCCTTCTCCTCTCCAATGAGGCAATATGATAAGAGAGTTATAAGAGCAAAAAGTAAAGGGTTAAGTGGATAGTAGTTTATCCTTAATTAGCCTACTAGTTAACAGGGTATATAATTAATAACAACCTCTAGTTAAGATTCCTACTAGGGGGGCAGCTAGGTGGTGCAGTGGATAGAGCACCGGCCCTGAAGTCAGGGGGACCTGAGTTCAAATCCGGCCTCAGACCAACACTTGACACTTACTAGCTGTGTGACCCTGGGCAAGTCACTTAACCCCAATTGCCTAAATAATAAAAAAATTAAAATTAAAAAAAGATTCCTACCAGGTAGAATAATTAATATCTCTTCCTTCTCATTACAACATTGATCTCTGGACTCTCAATAATAGTGTTTTGAATATCTAGAGATCCTTTCCTTTCCTCTAAAGAGCATAAAGAGCTATAGACAGATGAGCCTAATTTTGCTTAAAACACTTTGTAAGTATAAGCAGTTAGAAACGGAAAGTACAAGTCCTTTAACCATTTTCCTTAAAATATTTAGTTACTCATTAATGAATTTGCTATTCCCAAATCAAATAAAGTCTTTTAGTCTTTCTATACCACTCAAGACTACATTTCTCATGCATTATTCATTACCATACATATCATTCATGTTGACTTAAAAGTGAAACAACCCTGTTATATACACATCCACAGAATTATTTTCTGCATGAATTTTTATAGGAAATTTAGTACAAATACATTTAAGAAAAAAGTTGATACCCCACAAATAAGATCCTGAACTTTTAAATGAGCCAAATTTTAAAACAGAGGCAGGTAGGAGGCATAGTGGATAGAACAACAGGCCTGGAATAAGGAAGATATGAGTTCAAATCCAGCCTCAGATGCTTACCAGCTGTGTGACCCTAGGCAAGTCACTTAACCTATCTGCCTCAGTTTCCTTAACTGTAAAATGGAGGTGAGAATAATAACACCTGCCTCCCAGGATTGTTGTGAAGATCAAATTAGTTAATTTTTGTAAAATGCTTAGCACAGTGACTGGCACATAGTAGGTGCTTAATAAATGCTTGTTTCCTTCCCTCTCCAAAATAAAAATCAGCATACTTTGAATCTTGGAGGTTTTTTAATGACTTGAGTTTTAGCATATATTTGGTATGTTACTATTAATGAAAACTATTTAATGGTTAATAGTGATATCTTACATTTTTATATTGACATGCTATTAATGAAAATAAAGAGAAATGTAGCACCACCCTGTATGGGTGAGGCCAATGAAAGTGAGCTAGTTTGTATGAGCCCAAAGATATTTTAAACCCATGTACAATTTTGTTAGCTTACTATATAAGATTGTTTTCAAGCATTCAAACATCCAGCAAGCATTTATTAAGTAGCTACTGTGTGATTAATATTACACTCTGTGCTAGGGATCCTATACCATGCGAGATGCTAAGGATCCAGTGACTAAAACAAAAGTGTCCCTGCCCTTAGGGAACTTTCACTCTAGCATGGAAATGCATATGTAAGTAAATGAAAAAGATATACTAAATAAATATAAGGCAATTTGTTGGGGGGAGTTTACCAGCTGAGGCAGTCAAGGACAGCTTCATATAGAAAGTGACATGAGCTGGGAAAAAACATACTCTGGGAAAAAGCTGAAATGATTGTAAAATAAGGTTTGCTCTTTCCAAGTTTTGGTGCTGTAAATTTACACATGCGGGATAGATTTTTTTTTTTAAATAAAAAGCATCCTTAATGATTAACATGGTAACAACATAATCTTAGAGAGTCACGACTAGGAGTCCAGGCCAACTCTCTAGCCTCAGTGTCTTCCATAAAATAAGACTGATAATACCTACTCCTCCCTTTCTCATTGAGACGACATGCTAGAGTGGAAAGGGTTCTGATTGGAATAAAGGACCTGGGTTTAAATCCTGCCTCTGTCACTGAATTACATGTGTGACTGTGGACAAGTCACCTAAATGACCTCTGCTGGTGGGACTAGATGGCTTCTAAGGTCCCTCTCAGCTCTAAATCTGTATTCGTATCATCATAGCCATGAAAACTCAACATGCTATTGAGAAGAAAGGAAATAATAATTATCCACTTTTATACAGCACTTTAACATTTTCAAAGCATTTTACACATATCGTTTCATTTCAATCTCACAAAAACCCATGAGGCAGTCACAAACAGGCTTATTATCCTTATTTTACAAAAAAGGAAACTGAGGCTCAGAGAGATTAAATAACCTGTTGATCATTACATGCCTAGTGCCAGATAGGATTTGAACCTTTGTCTTCCTAATGTCAAAGTAGCACTCTACACAACACTATAGCATGTGCACTTAGCGTCATCTGTCTTTATTTTTTGTTTTTGTGCTAGGCAATGAGCTTAAATAACTTGCCCAGGGTCACACAGCTAATAAGTGTCAAGTGTCTGAGGTCGAATTTGAACTCAGGTCCTCCTGACTCCCGGGCCAATACTCTATCCACTGCACCACCTAGCTGCCCCATCTTCTGTTTTTGTTAAATATGCTTACTAATACTTTCATTGCTCTATTTTAGGTGTGATTGGAGACTGGAAAAATTATTTCACTGTAGCCCAGAATGAGAGATGTAATGAAGACTATAGGGAAAAGATGGATGATACTACACTCTCTTTCTCCATGGAATACTAAGAAGGAAAATTTGGAACTGAGACAAAATGATGAAGAATTTTGTACTCACCCAAAGCTTTAAAGTTGAATAGATTGCTGCTAACTATACAATATTCTCATAACAATGCCTTAAAATAAGGAAAAATTTTAGGCTCACTTTTCTAAGCCCTTTTTAGATTAGTCTCCATTGGCTCCAATTACCCCAGGAACTATCCTATTTTTTCATGTTCCTCTCCATAGATCTTTAACATAGGTGCATTTCCATAATGCTACTCATAATAAAATTGAATTTAGTATGTTTCTGACACTTTTATTGAGATTATATATATTCATTTATAGTTATCTTGCTCTCCTCTTTGATTATGTCACAATAATTTACAGGCCACCAAATCCATATATAACCATAGTGTACCTATAGACTCTCAAAATAAGGCCCAAAATGAAAAATATATAAAAAGTTTAGAAAGCATGATGGCTTTTGTGCCAAGTCACTCTACAATCTGAAGGGAGGATTCAGAGATCCTTGGTTCCCCATGTAGCAAAAAAAAAATTTTACATAGACAAATTCACCCCAATCCTCAAGGATACTGATTTCACGTAACTTTCTACTATAGTTAATTTAGGGAATAAAACTTAGAATCACAGACTTTCAGAGTTGAAAGGGACTTTGGCAGTCATATGGTCTCAAAATTAATATATACCCCAAAATGAATTTGTTTCTACAATACAATCCTCCTGACACAGGGTTATTCAGTCTTAAAGGTAGGATAAAACCCAGTGTCTTGTGGTAGCTCATTGACTTAACATCAATTATTAGGAAGTTTTTTCCTGATATCGAGTCTAAATTTGCCTCCACTTCTGCAGCCTATTGTTCCTAGTTCTGCCTTCTGTGGCCAAAAACAATCTATATGATAACCTTTCAACAACTTTGGGGGGGAAGGGGAAGGAATCATATCACCCTGAGTTTTCTCCTCTCCCCCAAGGTAAGATATCACCATCTATTTCAATGGATCTTCATATAACATGGACTTGAGGGTATTAACCATTATGGTAGATTCTTTTGAATATTCTCCAGCTTATCAAGGATATCTCTAAAATGTCATGCTCAGGCAGACTTCAGAAAAACCTAGAAAAACTTATATGAACTGATGCTGAGTGAAATGAGCAGAACCAGGAGAACATTGTACACACTAACAGCCACATTACTTGACCCTTCTCAGCAATACAAGGTTCTAAGACAACTCCAAAAGCCTCACTATGGAAAATGCTATCCACATCCAGAGAAAGAACTATGGAGTCTGAATGCAGATGGAAGCATACTATTTGCTCTCCTTTTCCTTTGTTGTTTAGTTGTATTTCTTCATTCTCATTGTTCCTCCCATTGTTTCTAATTGTTCTTTACATCATGACTAATGGGAAAATATGCTTAATATGCCTGTATAAGTAGAGCCTATATCAGATTGCACACTGTCTTGGGGTGGGGAGAGGAAGGGAGAGAAAACTTAAAAGCCAAAATCTTATGGAAGTGAATGCTGAAAACTAAAAATAAATAAATAAATTATTTTTAAAAAATAAAATAAAATGTCATGCTCAAAATTGTATGTAAATAGTTCAGAAGCTGCCTGACTAGGGCAGAAGGTTATTACCTCCATTTTCTTGGAAGTTATGCCACTCTTAATGAAGCCAACAACTGAATTAGCTTTGGGGGCTACCAATCGTATTGAGCTAGAAATCTACTAAATACCCTACATATTTTTCTGTCTTCAAATGTTTCTGATATAGCCAGGAAAACTTATTGGTCTATACTGTACAGGTCTAAGATAATGAATATGACATGAATATGGCAGCCAAAAACTTGATTTCCTATTAATCATAAGCAAAACAATGAACTTCTTATTCACATATATGGTCATTTTTCCTTTATTTCCCCTTTAATCCAACCCTGCTAGAATTTCAAAAAGGCTTCTTTCTCACTGAAACTATCAGTATTTTCATCCTCACACAAACAGTAAGAATCCTGGTATTGCTAAAAAAAGAAAAAAATTTCGCACGCATTTTACAACTAGTAGAAAAATACACTATACTTTTTCCAAACCAGTTTAACTGATGTTTACACATTTAAATAGTACATAAATGCATATGTTGATGGGTGTGGATACATGTCATCACACAATACTGAAACATAAAGCCACCTTTCAAATTCATTTACCTGAGGGAGGCTAAACCATAGCCATGACTACCTCTTGGCATATACATAATGTAAATAATATACCTATCTAATAGCAATCAATAGAAAAGAATCAATCTTCAGTAAAGAATGAAATCATGATTTATTATTCTCTTTTCATATCTAGTATAAAAATAACCTCCACAAAGTCTCTTCCATCTCTCTCCTCTTCTCCTTTCCAACTGTAACCACCCAAATTCAGTCCCTCATCTTTTCCTACCTAAACTACTGCAGTGGTCTTAAAGAATTACAGAATATTACCTTAAAGGGAGCATGGTAAAAGCTAGTCCAATCTAGCCATTTTATATGTAAAGAAGCTAAAGCCTAAAAAAGAAAAGTCATTTACTCATGGTCATACAGCTAATATATGGAAGTGCTAGGACTCAAACCCAGGTTTTCAGAGTCTCATGAGTCAAAGCCCAGTGTTCTTTGCCTATACCACACTTCCTTCCCTGAATGTGTGTTTCCAGTCTATTCTTACTTTAATCCATCCTTCATATCACTACCAAAGTAATAACCATCCAGATGGTATCACATCCTATACTTAGAAATAGTATTGTGACTGTCCATTGTCTACCAAATAAAGTATCACTTCCTGATCCTTAAATTCAGAGACCTTCAAGATAGCCAAGCTATATTCCCAGTAAACCAATCAATAAAATCAATCAATAAACTTTTATCAAGTTCCTATTATGTGCCAGGCACTATACTAAGCCCTACGGATACAAAAAAAAAAAAAAGCAAAAGATTTAAGTTCCTGCCCTCAAGGAATTTACAATCTAGTGGGGAAGACAGCATAAAAGCAAATGTAGACAAAGCAAGCTATCTACAGAATAAATAATTAACAGAGAAAAGGCACTAGAATTAAGAGGGATTGGGGAAGATTTCTAGTAAAACATGAGATCTTAGAAGGGATTTAAAGGAAGCCAGTGAAGTCAGTCAGTGGAGTTGAGGAGTGAGAGCATGCCAGGAATGGGGGACAGCAAGAGAAAATGATTAGACTTGAGATGGAGTGCCTTGGTCATGGAACAGTCAGAAGGCCAGTGTCACTTCATCGAAGAGCACATAGCAGAGAGTAAGGTGTAAAAGACTGGAAAGGTAGGAGGGAGCTAGGTATGAAGGACTTTGAATGCTATACTCTCCAGCCTACATTCCTGTCCTTTACTATCCCATCTCCATGCTTTTACTCACATTAATCCCCTATACCTTAGAAGATTTTTCCACTACCTACCTCCATCCATTCACGTACATCCATCCCTTCAAGGGGTGAAATACCACCTTTGCCACAAAGCCTTCACTAACTTCTTCTCATCTTACCCTCTTCTTTCACTCACACCCAAAGAGAAATCTCTATTTCTTCAAATTTCTCATAGCATTTTCCCTTACATTCATCTCAGTGTCTTTTACATCAGTTATTCATGTACCCATCTTGACTCCTGTTTGATTAGAAAATCCTTAAAAATAATTGTTATTTCATATTTAACTATCTCTTCACCAGGCTTGACAAAGTACATAAGCACATAACAGATGTTTAATAAATTGTTATAGCTTTTTTGAAAGTCTATTAGTGAAAGTGAATAAAACATCCATACAATTTGACCCAGAGATTGTACCACTAGGCTTAAACCCTAAAAGAGACCACTGATAAAAGGAAAGTCCTATACACACCAAAATATTTATAGCGGAAATTTTTGTCATAGTAAATAATTGGAATCAAAGCAGATGTCCATTGAAAGAATAACCACAAAACAATTAAAAGAGAATATTTTAATATTACAAAGGACAAGCATGACTTGAAAGAAGTGATATGAGAAGATGCCCCGATCCTACCCCTTGCAGAGGTGTGGTACTTTGTATTCATTTTCAGACTTTTTTGATGTTTTGATCAGTTTTCTTGATTTTTTCTCTTTTTTTTTCTTTAAAAATATTATCTGTTACTTGGGATGGCTCTCTGGGAGGCAGAAAAGAGAAATATTGGCATGAAATTTTGGTGATTTTAAGATATCAGTAAAAAATGTACTTTTAAAAATCTAAAAAAAGTTTATTTGTCTCCTTCCCCTGGTCCTTTGCAGAGGTAGGAGATTATGGGTGAGTGAAGCATTAAAGTCAGCATCAGATTTTTTTCAATATGTTGATAAATTTTGGCAAATTTTTTTCTCTTCCTCCTTTTTTAAAAAAGATTTTTTATATCAAAGGATGACACTCTAAGTGGAGAGGAGAGAGATACAAAGGTAAAAGCAAACAATATAAAAACAAAAGATAGCAATAAAAATTTATTTTCAAAAGAAAAAACTCTACTTATACATGTATGTAAAAACGATAAGAACAAAACTGAATACTGTGTAATTGTAACAACTAAGCTTGGTACTAGAGAAGAGTTGAGAAAACTTATCTCCTTCCATTCTTTGCATAGGTGGGAGACTATGGGTTTGAAATATTGCATACACTGTCAGACGTAGCTGCTATGTTGATTGGTTTTGCTGAACTGATTTTTTTCTTTTTTTCTATCCTGTGGAGGCAGGGACATATTGAGAAATATTTAAGATATAAAAAGCAAAAGTTATCAATAAAACTTTTTAGAAATCTCTTTGTAATTGTCCTCCTTGCTATTATCAGAAGTTGAATTACATAAAAGTATTTAATGTTTCACAAAACTTTCAACTCTAAAATTCAATGACACTGTTACTTCAAGTATACTTGTGGAAATACAGAAAGAGTTTAATTTACTAATGGCTATAATGAAGAGGTCATAATTTAAAAACCTAATTAATTACAAAAAATTAACTACATTCTC